TGTTGTGCTATAATACTTAGCTCGCCTTTATATATTAGCGTTTACTACCGATCAGCAGCGTTTTTTGACCATGCTCAAGTGTTGCAGGGCCCCTTTAAGTCTGCCACATACATTTACGTAGTTTAACGTGCCTATTATTTAAAGAGAGCCGGGTTATGGTAACACAGGCTTCGGACGGTAACGGTGCTCGAAGGCCACTGATGTTACACTCCAAACACAGTTTACTTGCCAACTTTACTCCCGGAAGGTCCATAACGTGTGACCACTTCACTTTCAGTTTCTCATTCATTGCTGGGCGTCTTGTCTTTCGCACTCGACCAACGGAAATAACCCCCCCCCCTCCCCGCTCTTCTTTCCCTAAACGGGAACACTGCCCACTCCAATGCGCGCAATAATATCTAGAATTTCAATTTCAAGCAGCCGACAAGCGAGGAGTCGTCGATTACCGACGTTTCGTTCCACATTTTGAAACGCCAAGTGTTTCTTCGCTGAAGAATACCAGTTAGCGGAGTCCCCTGTCACGGCGTTTGCGGCCGCGAGTACCAACCTTTCTGAACGAACACGCTGTATAAGCTCGTTTCTCGTACATATATAGGGTTTGAACTAGCGTGTTTTACAGCCTCCAGTTCACCTACGTGTCGTTAACAACGAATTACTGCTTACAACGAACTTGCGACACGAGGAGCTGGCGCAGCTTATACGCGCGGCACACGACTACAAGGTCGCGCGATCGACTTCCTTCCACACTGATACGCGGAGCGAATAGCCAACTCGAATACTGGATTCAATGACCAAAAAAATTGCGGGACCCTTAAGCTTCGCCTTCAGGCATTGAACGCGACAGCGATAACCTGTCCCTAGTGCTTATTGCAACCACGTAGTGCATACTTATCATTGTATCATGTTACTCGAGAAGTGTAATTCTCATGGTATGATTACAAAGTAATCGATAGTCAGTGAACCTTTCGCATCTGGCTGCACTCTGTGTAATGGGTAGCATGGTTTAAATTACGAGCAATTACATATGTGAAGTCTTTTCGAACTTACACGCACAGTAACGTATGTGCCTTTTGTAATGGGTGGCCGGCTGTTAACAACAGTCATTATGATAATCGCATGTTCAGGCGCCCAATGGCAATGTGTGCTTCCTTTACGCAATATTGCTGCGATATTACATGTGTAGTGAATCCTGTACACAGGACACGTGTGTTTGTGAAGCATGAAAGTTACTTTCACTGTCTTTCCAAGCAGAGAAAGTTATTCTCACTGTGTTTCCCAGGAGAGGCGCGACTGTCGCACGGGCCAAAACGTGCAACTTGTTTACAGTGGTAAAGCTGCGGTACGTAACTCAGGTTTTGCACTGCAGTAGAATACGTGTACAGAACGTAAACACAGCAGTTGCAGTTTTCACTTGGAGCTCTGTCTGGGAAAGATCGAGCTGTACAAACCTCTTCAGAGAAGTACAAGAGAAGTACAAGGCCTGGATTAGCTCACAAGACATTAGATTAATACATCAGACAACTTGTCAAATGTTTCCTTTTCCTGCGTGATGTAAATGACCTTTTTATATATATATTATACAACTAAAGTTGTCTATATCGCTGCTGGCATTTTTCGTGTCGTCAGCAAATGTGCAAGGACCAATACAGTGGTATTGAAAGAAAGTTGCTTCGTCCTTACACTTTCTATCAGTGAGATTTTCATTAGAGTGTCTCGCTGAAGTCTCACGTAAAAAATTGTACACAAAGACCTTGTCGATGTTCTTCTGCCTGTACCATTGTACCACCAGCAATAATGTGCAGGCCCAGCAATAATGTGCAGGCCCAGGACAGTGTGTTCTTAAACGTGTTAAAAGAATGCTTGTAGCACCAGGGGTCATTTTTTTTTCTTTTAATTACGCACTGGTACCTTACCAGTTAAAACATGGTTGGAGGATAGGGGATTATTCGTCCCATGTGGCACACATTGTTACTTATGTAATAACCAGAAACGATTCAGCATCAGCACATGTTCATAGATTTCTGGAGCGAGGTGTCTTTCTGGAAATATTACAGAGAACCATGAAAAAAAGATTTGCGGTAAGTCCGCATGGCTTCCGTTTTCTTTCTGTTAAAAACGAGGCTGGCGTATCTCATGATATAATTATGCTTCCCAGCCTGTACAGTATATGGCAAACCCGATGTGCCTTTGATAATGCGTGTGTATGGGTGCGATCTGTGCGAGAATATTTTTGCGAATCAGTGCGTCGTTTTCTTGAAGTTCTGAAGGGGAAAGAAAATATACCAGAGTGGATTGTGCAAATTGAACAATTGTTACGAATGCCAAAGTATTCATAAATAGTCAGCTCAGAGCTGACTATAAAAAAAATATCTCACGATTCACGATTACTCCACCGAAATGTATTTGGTGTAAGCGTTTTTCTTCCGTTTCAAGAAAAAATAATGGGCATTCATTAACCAGTACGCAGTAGCTTTCAGTACATGTAGTAGAAATTCACGGGTTACAACATGATAAAACTCGAGCAACAGGCGACCACGCGAATTAACATAAGACAATGACTTGCTGAGCCATCTGCTTTCCTTTAAAGAAAGATTACATAGTCTCTCGTTAAAAATACAGAGTTTAGCCCACAGGAGCTCAAAGAACTTCAGTTCGGTTTTATTCGTTTAAGGCTCCCATAAGGTGGTGTTACAAAGCTAGCAATGCGGCGACGATAACAAAAGGACAACAGGGCGGACTCAGCTTTCATATGTGAAATACTGATGTCACGTGAATATGAAGAATGAATTGGCCGGTTCCGATTTTGAACGGCTTCCAATGCAGCATTGAATATGCTTGCTACGGGCTCCAGGTGGCAGATGTATTTTCTAATTCTTGTATTACAAGTTATTAATATGCAAGTAATTTAACACGCGGTGGGGCAAAGCGGATGTGGCGTTTTTTATTCGATGTTTTAATGACGTTAATCATAGTCGTGCGTTGGGTTCCCCTTCAGGAGAGGGGGGGGGGGAATCGCAGCGTCCCCCCCGCTTCTATTAAGCCAAAGCATGGGGGCAAACTTTGCGCACCCCCTCCCCCCTTGGTGACAAAGGGCGGGCGGCGCGCCCCCCATGCTTTTCCCTTGCGCACGCCTATTATTGAACAATATGGGCTTGCTATGATAGAAGGAAAGGTGGCTCTTAGCTATTTAATTATTCTACTGGTTCAACCAGTAAATTGGAAGTACAATAGTGAAAGTGAGATTAATTGTGACGACGAAAGAGCGCGGAATCAGTGGGGTTTAGTGGGGTTGCAAACCCATTTAACGCAAGCTAAGTTTAATAGGTCTCAATGCCATCGTTCTTTGATTTACGATTGTCCCATTTTAGCAGATTTTGTCAGTTTCGTGCCGATCTTTTTTTTTTTTTTATCCCGTTTAAGTTTTCGTGAAATCTGCTTTTGCCATTTCTTGTAACACTTACCGAAATTGATAGCAATGTCGGCCGGCCGAGTCACTCGATAGCATTTGTGCCGTGAACTGATGGGGGAGGGGGGGGAGGGGTATAGGCAGCTGTCATGTGTGACTTCGTGCTCTGAATGCCAAGACAAAAAAAAATCAGAAGGGGAGAGGGGGGTGTTACCTCTTGGCTAAGCCACTGCTCCACTGAAATCACGAATAAAAAAACGGCACCGGCAGACAGCGCGCTGTGTTGGAAACTTCCGAAAAAATCCAATAGCAACTTTAGAATTCGCGAACGGGAAATAAACCTAACAAACGAACCAAACAGAACAGAAAATGAACATGGACACTAAAAAAGCACGTCAACCTGATTGAGGCAGCATGTCGTCCACGGCGTACGCTTCTCCCATCTATAAGCAGCCAGATCGAATACTGGCCGTATACTTGTTGATGACACAACGGTTGCTAGGGGGGACACTGTCCATGGGACCGTGTAGGTGTCGGGATCGAATGCAAACAAGAAAGAAGAAAAAAAAATAGCGTCTCTGTCGTGCTCGTCTTCGCTTGAGACACCGAGCGATACGGCCGCTCTTGCTTATTGTGCTTAGCGCAAAAACTTAGCTGACGGTCAACTGCGTAAACAAACGTGTTGTCTCTACCCAAGAGAGAGCGACTCCGTGGGCCGGAAAGTTATGACGCGGGAAAGCGTGAAATGACGTCCGCCGTGCCGTGTCGGAGATCAATCAATCGAACACGGTTTCCGCGTCTGAGCCGCGCCAGCGTTGATTTTAACGCAAGCACGACTACGACGCCGGCCAATATTGCTTTTTTTTTTTTAAGCGCAACGGAGACCCCTTCCAAGTTACGCGCATCGAGAAAGAACAACAATAAAAGAGAAGGCAGCGAAATATCAGGGAAGTATTTCAGCTTTGTTGACTTCGTTTGCAGGCGTATGTTTTAAGTGCTGAAAAGTGGCAGAGAGAGCTGCAAGAGCGGTAACTTGACGCGAAACTAGTGGAAGAAACGGTGACATTCAACTTGAGTGCATTGTTATTGCTTTTTTTTTTTCGCGCTGGTTTGGAAAAGCGCATCTGTGCGCTTTTGTGTGCGCGCTGGGTACACAACAATGGCAGAAACTCCAGAAATGCCGGTGTTTGAACAACGAGCCGAAAGTCGAGTGTGTGATAAACTGTCCAGTAGCGTCAAGTATGCATCACGCGTGGTGACTATTTTCAGCCCCCCCCCCCCCCCCCCCCCCTACGGGGCGGCTCCGTAAATAAACAAAGAGCGCAGCTGACAGCGGTGTTCTCACGGCCCCGAGGCATGCTCCTTTCCCGTTTCGTAGGAAACACCCGTACGCGACAAGCAATGAGCGACCAGAGATCAAGATCAAAGATACATTTTCCCGTTCACAGACGTAGGTCAGGATAATGACTCGAGAGCCTGGCGCCAACGGGACGCCCGGCGCGGAGGTCAAACTGCCCACGCACGGTGCGTAAAAGCAAAGCAGACTGGAAAAGTTGGAACGGGCCGAGGAGTTGTGGAGGCGGAGCGAACTCACCAAGAGCGTTTGTCCAAGTTGAAAATCCGAGCAGGAGAAGTAATCCGGCCCACAGTCCGAGCTCCGAGACGTAAGCCATAGCGTTGCCGATGGTTGCAATAAAGTTTGGACCGATCGCATTTCGGTTTCCCCGCCCGACGATGCGACGCGGAGAATGTTGCTGCCCGATCTGTGGAGTTTGCGAGGCCGCGCGTCGGCTCCTATCACCTCGTTGCCATGTTGCTTTTTGCGACTCCGCGAAAAACTGAAGCCACCGCTCGCCAGGGCACAGTTTAGTACCTGCGCGGGTTGCCAACTTTCTCGCAGTTCGCGCAACTTTTCTACTGATTATGGTTTTCTTCCTCTCCCCGTCCGAACTGCGCTTGCGCGGAAGCAAGCAAGGACGCATTGAAGGCATAGATTACGGATCATTTTAGTAGAGCCAAATGTGAAAAAAAATTGTGTCCAAAAAATCTACCTAATGTTTGCAGTTACATTCTGTGGCGTCCTCTATTGTTAAATATCTAAACTAGGATATCGGCATTATTAAACAAAATATTGTTGTATTCGTTTGATATTCTTTTACTAGATGGCAAGACAATATGTTTTTGCAAAACTTTTGTTATGAAGCGTAGTAAAGTGGTTGTTCACAAGTTTTTTCACAAACGCAAACGTACCGCGGACGCTCGCCCATTGATACATTTTAGTCTCCCCCGCTCCACGCTCCATTCTTTACTCCAAGCAAAACACTTCCATTCATTGGTTCCTGGAACGCCTCCACTCCTCACTCTCTGACGGCGCGTTCCTCGAATTTCAGCGTTACAACCTTTGCGCGGAATTCGTCGCTATCTCTATCCCTATCCCTTTAATTCTCCCTATTCCATTTTTATCACACCTCACCCCCATCCCTCGTGAGCCACTGTTGAGGTGTCGCACTGTGATGCAGATAGTTACGGGGCTCGCTTTTATCTTGTTTTCTCTCTTCTAAGAACCACTTACATACATCGCATGCGTGACCTTACGTTTCTCATAGAGCGATGGAGAAGCGGTACATTGATTAGTTCAGTGTACTTACACTCCGCCGATATCGGAGTGTGGCCGACCAATTGACAATCCAGCCTGCGATGCTGTACTGCGCTCAAATCACCTAAGGGTCGCCTGGAAGCATCCGTTAGAATTACACAAGTCCATCGCTTAATTAAAAACATGAATGAGTGCACTTAAAACGAAGTATTATAAGTTGATATAGGACCGGAACCGTCAATAATTACGGGGGGGGGGGGGGGGGGGGGAAGCGGAAACCACATCCGACCTACCGTCGAAACGCTGGCGCCCCAGCCCCCAGCCCCCACCCCAACCAAAAAATCCTGGCGCCGCCTCTGGGGGGTGGCAATTTTAAAACGCTGAAAATTGAAATGCCGAATTGTCGGAATGCCGGAATTCAAGAAGCCGAATCGAAAAAAAAAACGAAAATTTGAAATGCCCGAAAATTCAAACATCGAAACATGTCGGAATGCCGAAGCGCCGAAATTCCTGCATCACGTTTTGCCAAGATAACGGTTCCCCGCGGTCTTGTTCCCCGCGGCCAGCACACATCTTCGCTCTCTTTTCAAACAGACATGATCCCTTTGCATATGGCTCAAACTTCAAGCCTTCAAGAAAGAAAAAAAGAGTATATGTACTATTGCAGATATATTATTGCATTTCAGACAAATAAGTTCTGCCCGGTTCCCCTGCAAACGTCGACATTGTAGAGCGAGCAACTTGCCAAGATAAGCTGCCAAACGATTTTCGCGTAACTCTTGGCTCTTGCGGGGCTGTGCTCTAATATCGCTCCCTCGACGTTGTCTTCGAGCCTAGTTCACTCCTTTTTCGAGGAGGTGAGAGCTTCTAGGGAGCTATTCTCGCGGTATCCGATTCTAGGACACATAGAGTTTCGTACAAATGCTTGGACATGTCCAATTCAGCCTCCCCTGATTGGCTGGAGAGAGAGAGAGAGTGAGTGAGTAAAAACTTTATTGAACATGTGAAACAACTTTATTTTTTTGATTGGCTGGAGCACGCCGCCTGTTTCCGGTCTTATCTCCGCAACGTCATTTTGACGCCACACAGCTTTCAGAACTCTAAACACAAATGAGAATAATGGAATGCGTTTCGCCACAACGAATGCTACTCTTAGCATAGAGTTAATATGGCTCCCGGAGATTTGCTTTTGGACGCAAGTCTCGGAGGCCGTGCTTAGACTCTTATCACGTTAGCTGCGGTGAACGGCGCTATTAGCTGCACGGTGTAAGAAAAAAAAATATATCATTTTTCTAATGCTGGGTTCTCACGTGCGAAACGCCGTTATGGACGCTACGTAACACATTCGTATTTCTTCACGATTCCCTTCGGGTAGGTGGGGGCATTATATTGTGTAACAAACATAAATCCCTCCAGAAAAATAAAAATGGTAATCGCAAAGCGGACGTCGGATGCTGCGTCTCACATTACTGTTTGCAGTAAAAAAAAAAAAGGCATAGCTTTTGAAATAGCTAATTGTCTCACAACATTTAAAAAAACCTGTCGTTGGGGTGCTTTTTGAAACATTATATACACTAACCTTATCAATGTTTAATTAATAAACTAATTATTAATGTTTTTTAAATTCGGTGGCGCGGCTAGTGTTACTTCCAAAATTTAGGAAAGGCGCACTGGCATAGACATCACGTATTTCTCAAGATGGCGGACTTTAGAGGTGTGCAAGTTTTTTCATATCCACGTGCGGGCGTTAAAGTAACCGAAGACAATGTGTACTGGAAACGGCTTTCGCTTCCGGTAACCATCAAGGACATAGGAGCCATCAACAACGTCGACATTTCGCTCCAAGAACCGCACGCCTTCGCAATAACGTGTTCTTCAAGGGTGCGCGTGTTCAATCCCGTCAGCCGCGAGATCACATGCCAGTTCTCGAAGTTCTCCAAGGCGGCATGCGGTGGCGTGTTTCGCGCCGACGGCAACCTCATCGCCGCCGGAGGAGAAGACGGCGCCGTCAAGCTCTTCGATGTCAAGACGAGGTCACTGTTGCGACAGTTCACAGGCCACAAAAACCCCACGCAGCGGGTCGCCTTCACTCGGGACGGCAGGCAGCTGCTCAGTTTCTCGGACGACTCCACCGTCGCCCTGTGGGACATCCCGGGCCAGACCAGGCTGCTCTCCCTCGACGCGCACGAAGACTACGTGCGCTGCGGCTCCGTGTGCAAGGCCAACCAGGACATAGTGCTATCCGGCTCGTACGACCACACCGCCAAGGTGTTCGACCTGAGGACCGCTGACCCCGTGGTCACCGTCAACCACGGCTCCCCCGTCGAGTCGGTGCTCATGTTCCCCACGGGGGGCATCTTCCTCACGGCGGGGGGACCGCACATCAGAGTGTGGGACGTAGTGGCCGGTCGCATACTGGCCCAGATGACGCAGCACCACAAGACCGTCACGTGCCTGAAGCTCGCCAGTAACGGACAGCGCCTGCTCTCGGGCTCGCTTGATCGACACATCAAGGTGTTCGACGTCGCTACCTACCAAGTGGTCCACACCCTCGACTACCCGTCTCCCATCTTGTCTCTGGACATATCGCCACAGGACAAAGTCCTCGTTGTCGGCATGATATCGGGCCTCATATCCGTGCAGAGAAAGAAGAGCGAAATCGCCAAAGAAGTCTCCCCAGCAAAGCGCAGGCGGACGTCTTCTTACTTCCAGGAGGCCCACGCCGATCCCGCCTTCGTTCCCGGCGAAGGCGACGCCGTAGTTCCCGAGCGAACCTCGCAGAAAATGGCCAAGTACAACACGTACCTGAGGAAGTTCGAAGTCTCGAAGGCGCTCACCCAAGCCTTGCGGGACGCCAAGTTCACCAGGGAGCCGCAGATTGCCGTGGCCGTCATGCAGGAGCTCATTCGGAGGCGAGCCTTGAAGTCTGCCCTCGCCGGCAGGTCGGGGAAAGACCTGGACGAACTGATGCTTTTCGTAACGAAAAACGTCACCGACCCTCGCTTCTCTAGAATAATGTTAGACGTTGCCTCGCTCATGGTTGAAGTATATTACCCAGAGGTCACAACGTGTAAAGAGACATTTCGTAGACTGAAGATTCTGCAGAAGGTGATGCACCTAGAGGCAAAGCACATGCAGGAAATGATGGAACTGAAGGGCACTATTGAAATTCTCCTGTCGAACTCCAGCAGCATAGTGCAGAAGGAGACAGCACCTAATCTAAATGAGCTATAGATGACAAATTATATTGTTATTGTTCATATTATCATCATCATGTACATAAATATTCATGTACATAAAATGTTATGTCATCATATTCTAAATGCGTGTGTTTATTCTAGTGCTTGCATAGCACAATTTGTTTGCTATTGTGTCACAAGCCAAAAATATTTTACATGTGTATATATTTGATGCATCTACATATATGAAGCGTAAGGATAATGATTTCTTTCCTTTCTCCTTTACATAGCATTCGCATGACATCACTTTCACTGCTCTCGCTTTCTCTCATGAGTACCTAAGCTGCTTATGCCACCGTTTACGTGCTGCGGCACAGAGTGTTGACTGTCACCTGTTGCTGCGCAAAATATCGAAAATCAAACTGTGTGTTTGTTTGCTGTTCTACTTCGATTAGCTCACCGGACTATGCAAGGGTTCAGCAGTTGACTTCATACAAGCTCTTATAAGATCAAAATATGCAATGAAGTTGACCCGTGCCAGCCTTCCATTTAGAGCAAAGCTAACCCACATGCCGACTTGTTGTTCCCCTCATACACCTACGTGGACATATTTAGCTTGTTTTCACCATAAATTATGTTACCCAAGCACAAATTAAAACTTCAAGAGCTTTGAAACACACAGTACTTTACAAGTGGATGAGTGTGTATCATAGGGAAGCAGCTCTAAGGAAATGACTAGGACGTTACGCCGAGCAAGGTGATTTTGCACGAAGTGCGACTTATGTCACTGAAGTAGTTCATGCAGCAAGAAAGTGTGTTTTGTCTTTTGTTTTAAACAGTGACAAAACTAAAACTTCTTTCTCTGCATTTGCAAGAACAGGAGGAAAAGAAAATTGTGTAAGTTTAATGTGGTGACTTAGCGTGGTTTCACAACGTACTGGTGCAACAAGGAATGCCTGTACATTTTGTCTCATAGAAACGTTTTTGCCACTGTTTGCTTTGTTTAGTCCACGTACCTATAAATGCCAAGGACGGCGATTTGGTGAAGTAATGAGGGGGATCTGGAGAACTAACCAGAAATCGCCCGTAATGAAGTCGCATCTGCATGTGCGAATGTTGGTCCTTTCCGGTAATGCTCACAAACCAAACATACCAGCGCCCCTTCAGCAAGTCATAGTCACTCTACCTTGCTTCCCGTTTGCAGGCTTCAAGGACGACTTTCTTGACCTACAACCAAAAACTGCATAAAATGGCATTTTGAGGTGAAACTGAGTGGACTCAAGCACAATGCAGCGTCAATTGGTATCCAGGCATGTCGGTAGTGTGTACCGTAAGCGACAAAGTGACGCACGTTCACACTATGTATAGTGAGGTGCAACTAAACAAGGAAGCGGCATTTCCACCTTAAAGACGGATACACACGAGTCTGCACCGATGAGGGCAAATTCTAGACATGTCATTACTGGACTGTCGGTGACCCTTTCATTAGAGAACATCGCCAAGTACAGAAGCGGGACTGTTTATTTAGCTGTGAAGACAATTGGCTTCTCTGCTTCGATTTAGTCTCAGCCTCTTTGGCCTCGTTAAATCGTACCAAACTATAGGTCTATCAAGTTGCTCAGTACCATGAAGTCATCAAAAACTACTGGTGACATCTATGAATATGAGTACCAATCAGATCATTCTAAACGCAGGTTGCATAAACCCTATGGCTTCAACCACCTATTGAATAGGCAGTCTCTTTTTCTCTTACCTACCACTTTCATTTTCGCTGTATTACTTGGTGGCTAACATGACACAATGAAAAGAATTCCTCTGTTTCTGTGGTTACACATATCATCATCATCATTAGCCTGACTACGTCCACTGCAGGACAAAGGCCTCTCCCATGTTCCGCCAGTTAACCCGGTCCTGTGCTTGCTGCTGCCAATTTATACCTGCAAGCTTCTTAATCTCGTCTGCCCACCTAACCTTCTGTCTCCCCCTAACCCGCTTTCCTTCTCTGGGAATCTAGTTAGTTACCCTTAATTACCAGCGGTTATCCTGTCTACGCGCTACATGCCCGGCCCATGTCCATTTCCTCTTCTTTATTTCAACTATGATATCCTTAACCCCCGTTTGTCCCCTAATCCACTCTGCTCTCTTCTTGTCTCTTAAGGTTACACCTACCATTTTTCTTTCCATTGCTCGCTGTGTCGTCCTCAATTTAAGCTGAACCCTCTTTGTAAGTCTCCAGGTTTCTGCTCCCTAGCTAAGTACCGGTAAGATACAGCTGTTATATACCTTCCTCTTGAGGGATAGTGGCAATCTACCTGTCATAATTTGAGAGTGCTTGCCGAATGTGCTCCACCCCATTCTTATTCTTCTAGTTACTTCAATCTCGTGGTTCGGCTCTGCGGTTATTACCTGCCCTAAGTAGACATAGTCTTTTACAACTTCAAGTGCACTATTACCTATCTCGAAGCGCTGCTCTTTTCCGAGGCTGTTGTACATCACTTTCGTTTTCTGCAGATTAATTTTATGACCCGTCTTTCTGCTCTCCTTGTCTAACTCCGTAATCATGAGTTGCAATTCGCCCCCTGAGTTACTCAGCAATGCAATGTCATCGGCGAAGCGCAGGTTACAAAGGTACTCTCCATTAACTCTTATCCCTAACTGTTCCCATTCTAGGCTTCTGAAAACCTCCTGTAAGCGTGCGGTAAATAGCATTGGGGAGATTGTGTCCCCCTGCCTTACACCCTTCTTGATTGGTATTCTGTTGATTTCTTTATGAAGCACTATGGTAGCAGTTGATCCCCTGTTAGATTTCTTCCATAATGTTTATATATACTTAATCTACGCCCTGACTCCACAGTGCCTGTATGACGGCCGATATTTCTACTGAATCAAACGCCTTCTCGTAATCTATGAAGGCTATGTAGAGTGGTTGGTTATATTCTGAGCATTTCTCTATTACCTGATTGATAGTATGAATGTGGTCAATAGTTGAGTAGCCTGTTCGAAATCCTGCTTGTTGCTTTGGTTGATTGAATTCTAATGTTTTCTTTACTCTGTTAGCAATTACTTTTGTAAATATGTGGTTATACAAATAAAAATTCATGATAAAAGAACTGCCACGCAAGTGCAATTGCGTTGAATGCATGATGCAAGTTCTTTGCCTAATTTCTGCAGCTAAAGAGCACAGTTAGAGTCCCCATGCTTTTCATGGCTCGAACAAGAGGTTCATAACCTATATTTATGTGATTTCTTTTGCCCAAACCAACACTGCTTCACTATGTGCTTTGTAGCTAACATTCTGCATACACTCCATACTGTAAGACTCCTCCCAGGAACATCAAATAAAGTTAATTAGATGAAGCTTACCAAAGTCCAAACAAAATGATCTGGTAAGCAATTTCATCCCAGTCCAGTTTCTTGAGAGGTCACATCATGCAAGGCACAGAGGCATCTTCAAGCTTCTCATCCACTTTTGTCACAGTTCCAAGACCTGTAATTTTCACATTAAGGCGTATTGAGTTTCGTTCAGTTTTCGATGAAGCGAGTGCATGACATAGTTTTTCCACTGAGTTTCGCTATGTATGCCAGAAAGACCATTAACTTGTAATAATTACTGCACTTTTCTTTTGAGTCAACTTGTAATAACCCCTGCACTTTTCTTGTGAGTGAATGAATCACACTTGGGGAGTATGAAGGTTTTGGGATACAAGATATCTTAGCATTATGGTAGAGCCTGGCCTTACAACTTTGGACTTGATACCATGTTCAATCTTTAGAGCGCAGTTATCTCAATAATTTTAGGTGTGATGACATCGGTCAGGCAAAAAGAAACGAGTGCTACCTAACATTCTTTTTTCCTGGCTTTTCTCCCAGCTTTAAATGCAACAACGAAACAAACTGTTGTATCAAGCCAACAAATTTTCAACTTTTATGTTCTGTAACAGCTTCATAGAAGATCACTATAGTCAATTGTTTAAGACATGTATGTTCTGTAACGGCTTCATAGAAGATCACTATAGTCAATTGTTTAAGACACTTGGATGCTTGCCAGCATTTTTGTACGATATGATGGTTTGGAATTCTCATTAAAGCTCTTAGAGGAACTGAGCTATTAGCAACTTTTCATTACCTTTAACAGATTTCGTTAACTACATTTAGCATTGAGAAGCATAAAAACTGCTAAACATTGATCTCATGCTTGTCTAATGAAGAAAGGTAGACATCTCTTGCCAAAAAAGCCAGCCTGTCTTTGAATCATGAGATATGCACCAACTATAGATTAAAATTACACAATAAAAGCTTGTCAGCAAGCTTGTGTACGCGTAGATATTGCTTCAAATGTCATTTGTTTCTGTACGTCTATTTAGTTCGGGGTTTACGCTCGAGCATTGTGGAGTAAAATTAGGGCATGCAGTTTTTATTTTTTAAGTATATTTCATATGCACCTTTGGGCGGAAAATCAATTAAGTGAGCTACAGCACGCATGTGTGCGTGTTTCACGACCACTAAACATCTCCACATATATATTATTTCACCAACTGTGATAGCAAAGATGATTAAATACGATAAAAATGATTAAATACGATGTCAGCTTACATTCGAGAATATGCGGGATCTGCCGTAGGTCATTCAAGTCGCCGTTTTTTTTTTTTAATAAAACAAAAAGGTATTTACAAGTTCCAAACTCTTGCCACTCCAGCAGCGCATTTTTATTAATATTATTATTACCAGAGATCAGAGTTACTTGTTTCCAAGATCAGCGTAGTTCACTTGTGGCTAGCAGAAATATTAGGAGGCGCTGCGGTCGGGTCATCATTTTCTGCACGAAGGTTATTAGAGTAAGCGAGCTACATTGAACTGCCAAAATGTCCCTCTTTCGAGCTTCCGTAGGAGCTTGCCGTTATGTTTTGCCCAGAACTAGGTTACTGGCATCGCAGGCTGTTCAGTCTAGAACATACGCCGACGGTCAGATGCCGCTCACATTCGCATCGCCGGCAGAGGTGAGTCCGACCACATTGCTACGCCGACGTTCAAAGTTGCTAAAATTTTCGTGATAACTTCCATCGCGATTTAATCTCAGAGTCGTAACGCGTGCAGCTTTGCACGCAGAAGCTTACAAGTGAAGCGCTTCGCAATTCTCTTGCCTTGGCATCAATGAGCGAGAGGCACGCGGCTGGCGGCACTGTGAAATGTAGCCTCCTTTCTGCTGCGTTCCAGACTTTCTACGATAAAGTTGACGTGAAGCAAGTGGACGTGCCGTCGTACAGCGGAAACTTCGGTATCCTACCGAACCATGTACCCGCCTTGGCCGTGATCAAGCCGGGAGTTGTCACAGTGTTCCCCAAGGACGGCGAGGCCAAGAAATATTTCGGCAAGTATCCTTCATTTTATTTTATTTTTAGTCGCCCACAGTTACCTCGGCGACGCACTGCGTGCATCTAATAGACAAACAGTGCCTTAACTTCCCCGCCTTTCACTCAACCGTAGTACGGATACTTACTGCTAAGATCAGCCTGTCTTCATCTTTAACGTGGGGATCACACACTTGGCGACGACTTGGGTGTATTTTTTACCAGCAACGCATCGTGCTTTACTCAGTACACTGCCCAAATGCAGTTAAGATTGCGAATACGAATTCCAGGAATCGGTGCACACGCACGCAACGAAAACAGAATAATCGTGCAAGTTATTGCATTGACAAAACTGCAACTGTCGACCATGGCAGCTGCATTTTCGGTGGTGGCAAAATGCTTGAGGCGCGTGGTCTGTAGGTGCTGTTCAAGAAACCCAGGAGGTCGAAATTTCCGAAACCCTCCACTACGGCGTCCCTTGTGATCGTATCCTGGTTTTGGGATGTTAAAGCCCGGTTATTATTGACAAAGCCTCTGCAACCACATGATGTACTTCAAATGTGCAAGAATCTGGAATGATGTACTCACATTTTCCTTATTTTTGTCCCCCTCAGTGAGCAGTGGAACCATCTCCATCAATGAGGATTCCTCTGTGCAAGTACTGGCTGAAGCTGCAGTTCCAGTTGATCGCCTAGACCCACAGGTAAGCCTACGCATCGGCTCATTTGAAAGAACAGCTAGATCTTCAAATAAGACAAAGTTACTTGAAGGAAGAATGGAAGCTTGAAGAAAAATGTTTGAGCATGTGGTCTCGCTACAGTTTCTTCTATTCGACTAGTGGTTTTCTATTCTTCAAGGCAGCTATCTTAGACATAGAGTTGCCAGTTTTTCTTATAATATAATAAGCGGATTTCGGCTTTTGTCACTGAATCGCCTGCAAAATTTTCCAGTCAATTGCCATATTTTTTTGGCCTTGTTAGCATTTTTTCAACAACAAATACATTGGTGAACATCATGTTCACCAATAGCCCATTTGTTGATGATCTTGAGTACTTGAGTGTTGAAGTCAAACATAACATACATGGGGGGAATCAACAAGTAATATCATGCACTGGCAAGCATGTGTCCAGCCAAATGGAGACAACTTTGGAGACGATAATAATGTGCAAATATGTGCATTCATTCATAGCTGCACTAATTTACGCTGTACAAAATATATTTTTCAAGTCTTCTTGGAATGTGAGCAACTTTTCTTTCTTTTTTTTTTCTGCTAAAGTTAGCAGCATTTGTAATAATTAGAAAATTCAATAAATTTTTTCTATCGTTTGGGCTTTCCCCACTCGGTGTTCCTTTGAAGGGCCCCTAAACAACATCTGAAAATATGATGGATGAGCACGCTATTCCTTCCTGGCATTTCCCTCTTTTGCAGCACAATATGTGCCAGGAAATTTAATTATTATTTGCTTGTTAGCAGGGTAGCATCTGGCAACTCTGCTTTCACAATACCACACCTTTCTGGTATTTTTTCATGTCGGTAAAACCTCCATGAACAGAACTTGCTTCTAACTAATTATATTGCACCTTATACAAGTGCGTCCAATTCCTTTGAGTGCTGTGTGTGCATGCATATATCTCATTGCAAGAAACTTCTTAAATTGACACATCCCCCCCCCCCCCCCCCGAGTTTCTTCAGGTTACGATTAATATGCTACTGCAGTGTGTCATCGTTCAATTGAGAATGCATGAGCATCTTTTCTTGCAGCCTCATGTACTCGTTCAAACTTTTGTGCAAGCATGGAGCAAGGTGAAGTACAGCATGACAACATGCTTGGCAAGTGAGAAAATACATGTGCAGTGCTGCCTTGTAGTTCCTGCACCAGTTCACAGGACTGTCACGGATTTGGACTTCAGCTAAGGCCCATGTATAGGAATGTAAAAGTCTTCACATAGCAAGTTTTAGGAATTTTCACCAATTAAATATGACGAAGATGTGCAAGAACGTAGAAATTTGCGATGTCAATATTAATGTGCCTAAGTTTTGGCACAAAACTCAAGTATAATATTGACATGCATTTCCTCTTCTAGTAATCAATCTGTAATGGCAAAAGTGACAATAGAATCTTGAAAGAATGATTTAGCTGACTAAACTGATTTGATGCTTTACATTAGTGCCCTTTTAAAATGTAACTTGTGCAGATCTTGCTTGAACACTTTCGATTGCGATTTAGCCTTGATCAGAACTGAACTTCTCAATCACAATTGGCTCCTTGCAGCATCTTGAGCAAGAAAACCTGTAGGATCAAGCATTCAACCAAGTTTGAAATTGTAACATGGGATAACGACATAATTTATTTCTTTTTCTCTCTCTGTGGTAAGAGTGGTCACAAGGAAATGGTGTAAATATTGCACCCTCTTTCTTTTAAAGAAATTTTGAACACATTGCCTCAAATGTATTGCTACACAAGCTTGCTTCTTTTAGTATTATTGTCTGTATTATAACCTTTATTACAGCAGTTTCACTGAGCCACCCTCCCATCTTTATTCTTTCGCAGCTGTGCAGGGATGGCCTTACCAAGGCCCAGCAAGCTCTTCAATCTGCATCCAGCGACACTGCGAGAGCAGAGGCACAAATCGAAGTAGAAGTTCATGAAGCGCTGGTCAAGGCACTGGAGTAGATCACTGCTGCAATTTAATGACAGTAGCACCTGCACCAACAACTTTGAGAGTTAACAATAAACTGAGCTGTTCCATAATGATCATACCATTTTATGCTTTGGTGGGTCTGCATTGCAATTGATATCTTGGGTGGAATGCATCTACAGTTGCAGTGAATTTGGAAGAGTTGGTGCCATTAGTGAACTCTATGGAAGACAAACGTGCCATGAAGATTTTTGTCTAGGCTAGGGGGGCCCAGTACACGAAATGTCCCATCAAGGAATGAGGCTTGGTTTATCAAATGCAGCTTCAAATTATCAGAGATAGATTATGGCAATTTCATGATGGTGCGTTCCAAGCTCTGGCTACCTAGAGAGATTTACCGAAAGGTGGTATCAACTTGTGTAGCCATATTACCAAAAGCCAGGTATGTAGCATAATTTTATAGCCCGAGCTAGTATTCAAGATAAGGCAGATTGACTGCAAGTTCATTAGCAACTGGGCGGGTGCAGGTCCTCTAAAAGGGGGGGGGGGAGGACATTGTCCGACTATATATTATTATCTGTATCTCATAATCTTTTTGGGGGCTGTCAGTTGCTTGAGGAGAGAAAGAGACCTTCAAATATTGAACTGAATGCAGAATATTACTCATCTCTATATTACATAATAAAGAAAAGCATTGTGGAGCATGCAGAGCTGCACATTATTCATGAAAGGTGCAGATTATTTCACACATAACGCCATCAACACTCGCAAGCAGCTCAGCAAAGTAGTTTGTAAATGACTAATAATTCAAATGTAATCATGACCGATTCACAACAATGGCAATGAAAGATGGCCATAGTATAGACTAATATTTTATGGGCGGTTTTCAGAGCCGCCGCAACTAAACGAATAGTGCTATGATGGGCATATAAAAGTGAAAACTGTTGGGTTGGTACATTTGATGTTTTCTTAACTTATCAATTCACATCTCAATATGTAAAAATAAGAAAGCACTGGTTTAACAGCTCAAGGTGGTGGCACCAGTATGTCTTAGATAATCTACAGTTCATTGGAGAGATAAATCTATTTCGATTGATATGCGAGGTTTAACATACGAAACCACCACATGATTATGAGAGACACTGTAGTAGAGGGCTCGAGAAATTTTGACCACCTGGGGTTCTTTAACGTGCACCCAAATCTGAGCACACGGGCTTACAGCATTTTCGCCTCCACTGAAAATGCAGCCGCAATTCGATCCCGCGACCTGCAGGTCAGCAGGCAAGTACCTTAGCTACTATACCACTGCGGCGGGATAATATAATACAACTTCACCTAAATGAATGAAAACATGACAAGTAGCTAGTAAGTCAACTGTACTGCCTAAAGGACGGGTGTTTTTATTGAATAAATGGAGACTGCACAAAACCAGGTTGCTCCCGACGTTCACTTTGCAACTGGTGCCGCAACAGCATCATTTGAGGCCACTCACACTTGCTTTCATGCTCGTAAGCACTAAAGCAACTAACTAGAACAGAATCCAAATTCTGATGATGCATCTTTGACAACTTAGTGTTAATTAGGCGAGGATGTGGTCACCTCTCACGCTAGTCTAATTAGCACTGCAAGTTGGCAAAGAGAAAGCTTAGGGTTACAAGAGACATACTCAAAATTTTTGATTTCTGGTAAGCCATTGAGTTCCAGGCCAAGATTACGAAGTAATTCTAATGATGGGCTGTGCATGGATTTTCCTTCATCTCAACTTTGCTAAGAGGGCACATTGAATTCTGCTGTGCACTATTTTCACAGCATGAATAAAAGCAAAAAGGTTATTGCATCTCTGACATTTACGCTCAACACCGAATACTATTGATGAAGGCGATTTTCATTTCTAGTCTAATGCAAAGAGTATTATGTACGACACAAAATTAATGAGCCTACAATAAATATGCAGTCAGATATGCATAAAATAACAATACCAAGACATTTTAAATAAAGGATGCCCATACTTCATAAAAATTATTTAGCTTTGCATTTTTATGTACATTGATGAATGCAAGGAACGTGACACAGTCGAGCGTAACGTTTTTTAGAGCACCATCCTCCTCCCAGACAACTAAATGTGTATATACTGAAAAGTCCATATAAGCAAAGTTCTAAGAAAGGGTTTTAATATTTAAATAAATATTTAAGACTGATCCTTGCACCACCCATTTTTCCTATGCTGAACTAGCTTACTGAAAGCTTACTGCAACACATTTTATTTTGAATATATGACTGCAATAAATTGTAGACAAAAGAGAGGTAATGCGATACAACGTGTTGGAATGCTTGATTGTCGTACACTTACCACGAGCCTTTGTTCCAAGCAATCAGTGAAAATCACAAAATTTTACTTTGTGTGAAATTTATATTCATGTTAGCGTAGAGCAGACTCAGCATAGAGATTGCCCTATGCCAAGATGAAAGTTGTTGGCTCATTTTCTCGTCATCATAATCTGACAATGTATTCACAAAAGTACACGCAAGCTAAAGCAGTGGTTCAAGAGTAACGTAGACCTGCACCTGCGGCATCTCATATAGCACACATAGTATACTAGATTTAATTATTGATATAGTATACAAGCTGTTTTAGCGAACTTGTGTCATGGTTCAAATATTCAGAATGAACAATACTGCCACCACAGTATTGTTCACTGTCCTCTTGAGCAGCTCAGAATATTTTTTTCACATTATTACTCAGCTTTTGGAGCACAAGACTTATTAATAACATCTAGGGTTCTACGTCTCGAAACCACGGTATGATTACGAAGGGCGCTTAAGTGGGGGGCTCCGAAAATTTCGACCATCTGGTGTTCCTTAGCGTGCACTGACATGGCACAGTATAAGGGCCTCTACCACTTCGCCTAAAAGTGCCGTTGCGGCTGAAATACAACTTGCAACCTGCGAGTCAGCAGCGAAGCGCCATAGCCGCTACGTCACCGCGGCAGACTAGGGCACAAAGCTTTTGGCACAAAGCTTATGATGAGAAAGTTACAAAGTCTACTGACAAGTACTGATGTAATTTGTTTATGTAATGATAATTGCTACTGTTTTGATTTTTTCAGGCTAGAAAGTGTGAGCACATCTTCCAGTTAATACTGGCTTTCCTGCCTCAGCTGAGGTATTAAAATGATTTTCTTTTCATTGCGATAATTTCCAATGCATTCAGCAAGAGTATCTAGGGCACATCTGAGGTTTACAGGAAAATACATTCTTTTTTTTTTCCGATGCATAGCATACTGCTGTACTGAAAAGTAGCAGTTAGTTTGTCATGTTGGAGCACGCAAGAATGAGACAATACACCCAGTCAAGCTGTTTTTTTTTTTCTTTTTCTAAAATGGGAGTTTCCGTATATACACAGGAGTGTTTCAAACAAGACTATCATCTGATATGTTCAGGAGGCAAAACAGTAAATCAATATCTTTCCATAAAGACAAAACAAAAAGGCAATATTACTATATCCAGCCCTTTACGCACATAGGAAAATACTAGTAGAAATATATTTACAGCTCTCGTTCTGGAAGTCGCTGTCACACTTGGCAGGGAAGGCACATGAAACAAAACCCCTAACGCAGATTATATTTTTCTCCTCCGAAAACTAGGTTTCACTAAAAATGTACAATGTCCGAGTATAGGGCTACATATCACACATTGAATAAATACAGGAAACAATCAGGTTGTACCCAAACAAACCCTGCTTATAAGCTGAACAATGAACAAAAACGCCATTTGCACAAGGAATCAACTACTATTTCTATTTTCAGCCTCTCCCGCATCTTTGGTCGCAGATATGCAACAGTGCTCCAACTTTTACATTAAAACAGAGCCACACATTAGTGGCAGATATTCAAGCTTCACAAATGAATTCATGAACGTGATCATCATGACTTAGAGTGTGGCTACAATGTAAAAGCATTTCAGGGCTTCGTGGCAGCGCAAAACATTGCCTCACGATCACTTACACAAAGCAATATCTCATACAGTTAAAGCTCGATCTAACGAGACCCAATTTCAAGAAGTTCCCGACTTAACAAAGGAATTTCAATCCCCCGCAAATACTCATGGGGCTCAGTGTTATCATCAACCCGGATTATTGAACTAACTTAGCCGCCAAGCCCTATTTCATGAAGTTTTTCCCGAAATATCGGGGTAACAAAGCAGTAACTTCCTTCGAAATTGCGCAGAGACAAGTCCTTCTTAGAGTGTGCACTCTAATGCTATCGCATTAAAACATACAGGCACTCCATTCCCTCGTGGCTCCAACTTTAGTCAGACAATGCTGCACACTGTGCCCATGTGAGAAGGAATAGACTCGGAAATCAATATAGTGCTCTTACGTACTGGATGGTTCTATGAGCGACGGTTCTTGATTTTGCGATTTCATGGCATTGATAATCTCTTTTGAATTTCTGGCTCACCCTGCTCGCACGATCACTGCATTTATTCTCTATGTGTTCACATATGGTCGGCCATAATTGCTTTACGTAACTGTATTTCTGCTCCACTTTGTCTCGACATGGTGCCCCCGATATCTGGACTGGCCTCATCATGCGCAAGAGTATATTGCAGGTCAGAACAACAGCCTGGTAGCTTCCCGTTGCGGCAGCATTTCAATAATAGCTTTCAAAGAGCCAAGAAATACCTTTATCCACATTACAACTTCTCGATTTAACAAAATAATTCCAGCATCCCAATCACTTTGTTAGATTGAGTTTCAACTGCATTACCACAGACTTGCACCTGGTAGCCTAAATTTCTAGTGAGTACAATGGAAACAAAATTACAGTACCTCTCCTTGTTGGCAATGTAATTAGGTTAAACAAGGGATGGCTGAGGCCAAGAATGACATTGAAAACAGCACACTAGTATTCGTAAAAGATGGCAAGAGAGACAACCATATGGAATTTTACTAATCTGCTACTGCCGAGCGAAAAGATAGATATCAAATCAGTTTTGCTTTCAGTGACCTACAAGACAGTTCAGAAGGATTCAGACATCAGAAGTGCATGAATACCCAGGAAACACTGTATAAACTTTCAGTAATGCTCAAAATTTATGAGGCTGGAAACTATAAAAC